TATATATATGTATGTATGAGAGAGAGAGAGAGATCAAGATCATGTCCTGGGGGAGGAGTGGGGCTACAAAAGGGGAAAAGTCAAAATGTGTTTTGTAAAGGCCATGTAAAGCTTAGCTACCAGAAGATGGGAAACTATAAGCCACGCCCAAGGCAGTTATGGGAAAGAAGGAAAAAGGATACAAGGAGGCACACAAGTGAACCTGAAAAAATCAAGTCAGCATCTCTATCTACCCCAAAGAGAGCAACGAAAGAAGGGTCTGTGGCCTGATGAGGTCTGCAACCCTCTGCGCCAACAGCATGGGAATTTCTCCTCTGGCCCAGGTTTCCAAATTGGTTGTTCCACACCTGTCATGTGACATCATGACGCCTACGGCTCTGGCCGTCTGACCATTTTCTGAGTCTTCTCTCTTCTGCCAGACTGGGCCCCAGTGGACACTTGAGCTCTCCTTGATGACCACAGCATGATGGCTCCACAAAGCCTCTGACCCAATAGCCCTTCCCCTACAGAGACTGGGTTAGACACACTGTCTACCCTCTCACCTCAGTGAACCAGCAGTTACTGACAATGGATAGCAACACTGTTCCACACTCCCTAAAAGCTCTGAAACGCCCTAGACGAACAGCCAGACTCCTTTCAGGGCCGGTGACACTCAGCCTTTCGGAACTTTGCTGGTCAGGTGTGAGGCTTTCTGCACCAGTCCCCAGCAGTGTCAGTCCAGCAGAAACAGGTGCTGTGTACACACACCTGACACACTGCCTGCATGCCCTGGTGTCCTTCACTCTCCTCTCCACGGTAAGAGGATCCAGCATGTCTGGCAAGGGTTCAGACTAGTTGATATCCAACAATAAAACCACTGGCTTAAAAAAAAAAAAAAAAAAAAAGGCCAGGCATGCTGGTACACACCTTTAATCCCAGTACTGGGGAAGGAGAAGCTGGCAGATCTCGAGTTGAGGGCAGCCTGGTCTACACAGAGAGACCCTGTCTCAAACAACAACAAACCCTCTGGCACCAAGTATCACCAAAGGACCAAAATGACAGACCAGGATGCCATGGGAGAGCATACCATCTAACAGCACATCAGAGCATCCTTGTCCTCTCTCCCCAGAAGACCGCCCACTCCCAGTAAGACAAACAGCACCCTGATCTTAAAACGTGAAGGCAGAAGGCAGGAGAGTTCAAGCAGCGCCTAGCTAATCCTGAGTCCTGGTACTGGGCCCTTGCATGCAGCCTGTACTTTCTGTGTTCTTCTGGGCTTTGGTTACTTAATTTGAGACAGGGTTCCTCGTCACAGGGGAAAGGCCGGCACCAGGGCGGCGTAGACTGGCCACAGTGGAGCCTCCTGCCTGCTCCTTTAGCACTGTGCTCACGACCTCTCATCCATGCAACCACAATTCCATCTGTTCCCAGTTCTAGAAAACGGGTTCTCTGAGGGAAACGTGCTTGTTGTGATCGTCCTAGGGAGAATTTAGCACAGCGCTTGGCACACAGCAGGCATCTGAAAATTTCTTGTGAATGACTGAGGCTCACACGCTCTGAGGGAGTGCTCCCTCCTGGCGACCCTCACCCAGAACCACGCGCCAGTGTCTACCACCTAAAAGTCCAGTTATTAGAAACACCACTTATTCAGCCACCACCCAGATAACAACAATGATTTGAAGGTCAATGCCAGGGACTCCATGTATTGGTTAATCATATGGCATTCTTGGCTTTAGTTTCTGCATCTGCAAAGTGAGAATCAGGGACTTCTGGGGAGAGGGTAGGGCTGAGGTCACCTGTTCCACAAGGTGTCCTCCCTCTTACCTGGAGGTAATAACAGTACTAACATTCCACTTACCTTGCCTATCGTGATACACGAGTTTATGGCGTCAAGCAAGTCCCCTTTCTTTTCATTTATGGGCACTTGTGCTAACTCCTTCCCTATCAGTTCACCTGACTGATAACCCATTGTTGTTTCAAATGCAGGGTTTGCATACTGGAAAGAGACAAAAGAAAAAAAGAAGTGAATTTAAAGGATGTTTTGAAAAAACAAAGGCCTTCCACCTAAGCACTACCCCGCCCCCCAAAACTCAGCCACTTGGGCTTCATCCTGAATGTTCTAAAGCCACAAGAACTTTGTATCCAGGGAAGCTTCTGCTTAGAAGGCACATGGCTGGGCTTCCTGCTGTGTCTGGGGCTCCAGGAAGGCAGCAGGCTCACTCCACCCTCAATGAAGACAAAGGAAGGCCTATTCTCAGGACAGACCCAGGCTGCCACACCAGAGCTGCCCGGATGGTGCTATAGTGAAATAAAGTACCAGGCTCTGCCCTCTGGACCCCTGCAAGTCACTTCATCCACCTGGGCTCACCTGGATGGGGAGAATGACAACATGCCTCTCTGGTGTGACTCGAAGAGTAAGGTGTGGAAAGCAGGCTACCAACTAGGAAGTGTTTGTAAATGAGACGTTTGACCATAAGTCTCAAACACATAAGACAGGGGAAATGGAGGAGAGCGCTGAGCATGTGCTGGTGACGACAATGAGACAGAAATGGCAGAACAGAGACTGGCAGTGGTTACTGAGGGAGCAAGCTCTTCACTCACACACACACACACACACACACACACACACACACACACACACACACAAGCCCAGGTAGCACTCAACACTTAGGAAAGGTGGGTTATCAAGGGAGTAAGCAATTCACACACACGAGCCCAGGTAACACTCAACACAGGAAAGGCGGGTTATTGAGGGAGTAAGCTCTTCACACACACGAGCCTGGGTAGCCCTCAACACAGGAAAGGCGGGTTATCGAGGGAGTAAGCTCTTCACACACACACACACACACACACACACACACACACACACACACACACACGAGCCCGGGTAGCCCTCAACACTTAGGAAAGGCGGGTGGGTTATCAAGGGAGTAAGCAATTCACACACACGAGCCCGGGTAACACTCAACACAGGAAAGGCGGGTGGGTTATCAAGGGAGTAAGCAATTCACACACACGAGCCCGGGTAGCCCTCAACACTTAGGAAAGGCAGGTGGCTGCTGTTACTGTCACTTCCATTTGTCAGAGAAAGCAGATTCAGTTACAGTAAGTAACTTGCCCAAAGATGCATGGCTGAGGCAGACAGAAGCCTGTCCCCTCGACTCCTGGCCTGTGTGGCCTCTTAGCACCAACTCCCAAATGCCACCACCAATAACAATAGCGAATAATAAGTCAGACCCCGTGACCCGAAATCAGAGTGGAGTTCATTCCCAGACTAAAGCAACACTTCCCCCGGACAGCTGCATCTTTTAGTAACAGCCGTGTTATCTTTATAGACATCTATCTTATAGAAGCTAGCTTTGCTAATAATGGTAGTCTAGTCTGATTTTTTTTGTCTTCATTTTAACTGCTTTTACTCAATTTCTGTAAATTTCGCCGGCCTCCAAAAGCCCCAGGAAAGGGAGTAAGCAGAGTGAAGAAAGCGGTGTGGCAGCCGGCAGCTGAGTCTCTCCCGGAGAGGGAAGAGGGAAGGTCTGGCGTTTCTACATGTCTAAGCACCGTAAGTAATCCTTCTCTTTTCTTTTTTTTTTAATAATTATTTATTATATATACACTTTCCAGGATACAGTGCCAGACCTCATTACAGATGGTTGTGAGCCACCATGTGGTTGCTGGGAATTGAACTCAGGACCTCCAGAAGAGCAGCTAGTGCTCTTAACCTCTGAGCCATCTCTCCAGCTCCTCCTTCTCTTTTCTTATCTACAGAGTTTATTTTATGTATTTTATTGATTTTGCTCTTACAATCATCTCAAGGGGGAAAAAATGCCTCTTGTATTCAAAAAGAAAATTCAAACTGTAGGGCTACCATCCTAAAGCTGAGAACAAACAAAATGGAGCTGTAAGCATAAATCTCCAGAAGAACAGACCTGTATGATGTGGGCTTCACTCGTAATTTCAATCGCTTCTTGGCTTTTCTCCAAGGCAGTGAATACTGCGTTGCAAGCCCTTTATGGACAGAAAGAAGAGGACTGGTGAAGATATTTATGTTAATCATGATTACTAGATCTAACGCAACCTCAGGGTATTATAGCAGCTTATTGAGGTTAATGTGTGCTCAGAAAGAGGAAGGGGAAATCTTTAAAAACATAGAGAAGAACTTCTGCGGCCCTAATCCTCAGGGTCCTGTTCGCACACCAGGATGGTCACACACCAGCGCAGCGGGGGAACCCTGAGCCCCTGTGGTGGCCTTTTCTCAGCACTAGAGAACCTTCACAAAGAGAGAAGAGAGTCTGGACTGCTGCACAGAGCCTCACAGTACTGGGGCATTTCAACGACCAGCTGTGTTGTCCCCTCTCTTCACTTAGTCTCACTGTGAGCGTATTCCCACACCCTTCATGTTTGCAATGCTTACCTGTTGTTATACAGGTAACAAATGTTTATTGACAAAACTTAGAAAATATAAACGAGCTAGCTATGGCTCCACTATGAGAATAAGATGGGTAGTAAATACTAGTGATAACCTCATACATTATTGGTAGGAATGTAAAATTGGTGCTGCTCCCATTTTGAAAAACAGTCTAGAAACTCTTCAAATGGTTAAACATAGAATCATTATATGATCCAGCTATATGTACTCTCAATTATGTACTTAATGAAAACAAAAAATCTGTTGACACAAAACCTCATACATAACAGTTGGCAAGAATAGACAGCCCTAATGTCCACCAGTGAAGAATGAATAAAGTGTCCTATAGACATAAGCTGGAATACTGTATAGACATAAACACCAATGAAATGTACTATATACATAAGCTGGAATATTATATAGACATAAATACCAATGAAGTTCTGCTCTATAGTCTATGTATATCCTCTCTACCTTGAAAACATTATATTTAAATGTAAGAAGTTTAGAGGATCATATACTGTCTGATTCCAATTTATACAAAATGTATAAAATATGCAAATCCAGACACAGAAAGTAAAATAAGGGTGTGGGCCCAGGGTTAATGAAAGTATCCTAGGATTGTGGTGATAAGTGCACAACCCTGGGGTATGATAAACATCACTAAGTATGTACCTTAAATAGATAAATGATAGGGTACGTGAAGTATATTCCAATAAAGTTATTCAGAAACAAATGGGGGCAGACCATCTGAAGCCCCAAAGCTTAGATATATCAACACTAGGTACTCTAGGAGGTTTCTTTCATGAACACACAAGCCAACATATATTTATAAAAACATACTCATTCTTAGGATTTATCATTTCCTTTTCTCACTGAACACATCAATAATTACAGTTCTCCATCACCACATCTAATCACCATATTGTATTTTATAAGGTTATACCAAGATATGTTCGACAAACCCCCATGATGACACACATGGGCTGCTTCCAGGCTTTTGTCTTAGATAAGGGACACCCCAACCCCAGTGTGACCAGAAGGCCCTGTGGCCTCACGAGACTAAGAGAGTAAGTGTCTGCTTATGCACAGGGTGGAGAGACAGTGACTATAAAGCTACTCTGCTTTCCCATCCCTCCTGCTCAATGAAGCTGTGATTTAACAACAAGGCTCTGCTAGACAACCTGAGTACAGCTGCCAGGGCTCATGTAGTTAGGGAGAGAGAACCGACTTCCTGAGCTGTGTGTGCCCCCACCCATGGACACAAACCCACAAAGTAAATAAGTATTCCTTTAAAAAATAAAACTTAGAAACGGGAAGCTGGAGAGATGCTCGGTGGTTAAGAGCACTTACTGCTCTTCCAGAAGACCTGGGTTTGGTTCCTGGTGCCATGTCAGCAGCTCACAATGGCCTGTCACTGCAGCTTGGTGGGATCTAACAGTCTCCTCTGAATGTAGGGGACACCTTCATGCATGCATAACGCCCCCTGACACACACACATGATGTGGGAGTGTCATATATCAATCTGATGATTTCATTGGTTAAGCAATAAAGAAACTCCTTGGCCCTAATAGGTTAAAACATAGGTGGGAGGAGTAAACAGAATAGGATGCTGGGAGGAAGAGGAAGTGAGCTCAGACTCGACAGCTCTGCTCTCTGGAGCAGAGGCCCTGCTTTGCTCTCCAAGGCAAACGCGATGAAACTCCGACCCAGGATGGACGTAGGCTAGAATCTTCCAGGTAAGCACACCTAGGGGTGCTTACACAAATAATTAGAAATGAGCTAGTCCAGGTGCGAGAATTAGCCTAGAAGAGGCTAGATAGAAATGGGCCAAGCAGTGTTTAAATGAATACAGTTTGTGTGTTGTTATTTCGGGGCATAAGCTAGCAGGCGGCCGGGGTGCTGGGGACGCAGCCCCGCCGCTCCTATTTCAACACACACACATATGCCTAACTTAAAAATTAATCTTTTAGGGCTGGAGAGATGGCTCAGAGGTTAAGAGCACTGGCTGCTCTTCCAGAGGTCCTGAGTTCAATTCCCAGCAACCACATGGTGGCTCACAACCATCTGTAATGGGATCTGGTGTCCTCTTCTGGCATACAAACATACATGGAAGGAATGTTGTATACATAATAAATAAATCTAAAAAAATTAATCTTTTAAAAAACATACAGGGCTAGAGAGATGGCTTAGCACTCATAATCATGTCAGTAAAATTAGTTCAGTTCCCAACACCCATGTCAGACAGCTCATAACTGCCTGCAACTCCAGCTAGGGGAATCTGATGCCGCTGGCTTGTGCGGGCAACTGTACACATACCCCCCATGCACACATAATTAAAAATGAAACATAATCCTAAAAAATAAAAGATTGGCTGGTGAGACAGCTCAATTGGCAAAACGGACTTTTGTAAGACAGAAACAGGCAGATCAGGCCAACCTGATCTACACAGTGAGTTCCAGGCCATCCTGGTCTACCCAATGAGTTCTAGGTCATAGGTCAGCCAAGGCCTCGAAATACAAGGATCAACAATAAACACAAAGAGAAGTTCCACACGTGACAGAAGCAGCTTGGAGGACCCAGGCCTGCAGAAGGCCCATTGGGTCCCTCATTCTCTTTCAACCAGAGCAGAACTGCAAACTGGGAAATGCTATACTTTCTCATGGTCACTTCTTGGATTCCTAGCTTGGCCGAACTTCTTTTCACGTCTTCTGACTCGTGAGTCGCCTGTGCATATCTTTCTGATTCACCAAAGCTCCTTATTTAGGGACTAACCTAATGCCCGTTGGATACGCAGCAAACCAATGTTTCCATTCCGTTTTCTGTAATTTTAACATTACCTCAGAGTTTGGGTTTCTTTTCGAGTATACAGAAACATAATGTTTTCCTCTTGGGTGACTGGTTTCTCTCCCTTTGTGGAATTCAGCCTTTAGGCCATGCTGATTTTAAAAAGGCTTCATCATCCAATCAAATATTTTGCTTCTTTTTTGAGCAAAATACACGGCTCTACATTTAAGCCTTAGTTTAGTGGTGGCTACGTGGGGTGGGGGCGGGGAAACTGGGGTACATTAATTTCTTTTCCACTAAGTAAGCAGCCGCCATGCTCCCAGACACTGAAAAGCTCACTTTCGGTGCTGATCTGAGCACCCACGCTGCTAAGGCCCCAGGCTCTAAGTACACTCAGGCCTGTTTCCAGACTCTACATTCTAGCCCGGGACTTCACACAGCTTCCTGGCAGAACAGGTTTCCCACATTTCCCTTTCCCTTCGTGGTTTCTCTTTTCCTTTGCCTAATGTGCATCAGGGCAATCTTGGGAGCCACATCTGGGAGTCTAGACATCACCTTGAACTTAGTGGAATATTGCAAGACAGAAACACAAATGGGAGTACATGTTATTTCACTGTGAAAACCAGACAAGAGGAAGCCAGGGCTAACTCTAGGGAGACTGACTCGTGGATTCAATAATCCAGACAAAAGACAGTGACCTTACTCAGAGTAAATAAAAGCAAAATTAAGTGAATGGAGCCCAGAGAAGCCTACGAGGTAGGAGGACAGGATGCAGTGAGGAACAAGAGTTAGGAGTGGGTAAGGGAGGCCCAGGAGTTTCAAAGCAAGACTAACAGCTGACCACTATGTTCACTGCACTAAGGCACTGAAGAAGAAAGTTTGAAGTTAGTTCAGGAGATGAGGAAAGAAGACAACTGTAGTATTAGAGATGTAAACCTCAGGCCAGGTGTGGGGGGCTCACACCTTTGATTCCAGCACTCAGGAGACAGAAGCGGGATTTCTGTCTCTAAAAAAAAAAAAAAAAAAATTCCTCATCTCCTTTATAACACAAAATAGAAAACCCAGTGTATGAGATTTCTGTATCTTATTTTTTTCTCATTTACTACTGCTTTGAGTTTAAATGGGAGTCATTTAAACTCTAGTCAGTAACATGACTCCCAAAAGTCTTCTGTTGTGGTTTTCCTTTACACTGTGTGAAGGCGTGTCACTGTGGTTGGTTTAATAAACAGCTAAACAGCCAGTACCTAGGCAGGATTTTCAGGGTAGGGAGAATGCTGGGGAGAAGGGCAAAGAAGCCAGACAGACAGGGAACGAGTCAGACACACAAAAAGAGAAGTAAAAGCCACGTGATAGAACATAGATTAATTTTTTTTAAAAAGGTTAATTTAAGTTATGAGAGCTAGTTAGGAACAAACCTAAGGGCTCAGCTGAGCTTTCATAATTAGTAAGAAGTCTCGTGTAGTTTATTGGGGAGCTGGCTGGTGGGACAAGGAAAGACCAGCTGCAGTTTGCCTGAGGATCACTGGCAGCTTCCTGTCCAGCACATCTTTAAAAATAACTGTATGCGTAGAGGCCAGAGTCAACATTGGTGCCTTCCTCCAGTTGTTCCCCGCCCGTTGTGTTCTGAGTCAGGGGCTTCTGTGTCTTCAGTATGGGATTACAGGTACACCCAGCCTTTCATGTGGATGCTGGGGCCCTGGACATGGTAAGCACTTTCCTGACAGCTAACTCACACCTGTCCTGCCTTAACTAGTATTGGTTATGGCCAAAAGACCTGTGTTTGCAACTTTCCCTGGGGTCTGGAGGTCTTTTCAGCAGGGACACGGTTACCTGAGTTTCAGCTGTGATCGCACCTCTCCAAACGCCAGCTGGAGCAGCTCATTGTAACAGGCCATGAGGCTGGGGTTTTCTACATACCTCTACAAACAGAAAGGGAGCTTTGTAGATGAAGATCCTCTGATGGGTGCTGCAAAACAAAGTCTGCACAAACCTTTCAATTTGGCTACTGAAATTAAAAACTGCTTCATAATCATTCATGTACAACAGACGACAGATGAGATTTAAATGTACCAAAGTAACTTAAAATTAAAAATAGAAATACTAAGGTTCTCTGCTTATCCACCTATCACCTATAAAGCGGAGGAGAGACTGCAGAAAGTTGGTATTGGGTTTTCAAGCACTTTCCGAAGTAATATTTTGTCCTCACAGTCAGAAGAGCTCCCCATCCACAAAGCACACTAGCACCTCTACCCACACCTGTGGCTCTGGGGGGGAACTCCTACTGGGAAATATTTCCCACAAACTGCAAAAGCGCTGGCTGGTGATCACTCTGCAAGCAAGGAACCAGGAGAAGGCATGGGTTTGCCCAGCGTCTCTTACGGCTGTGGACACTAAGTGTTGTGTACAACAACCTTTACATCATGGATGTCCCACACAAAGCAAATAGCATGGTTACAGAAAATGGACCGATGCTACCACCGAATAACAAATTTTTCACTGGTATCTTAGAAGTCACTATGCTGTTACACACAGCAGTCTCAGGGTATCTGCAGAGACTGTACAACTAACTACCTTATATCAAATGACATAGTGCTTACATATAAATGATGCTATCTTCCTGCATACTTTAGTGACCTCTAGAAACACAGGTAAATGCTGTATAAACAGTTGTTATTCTGTATTATGTTGGGAACAATAACAAGAAAAAGTCCATATATGTTCACATGTGGAATGTTCTCTCCTGGATACTATGGGTCTACAATAGAAAAAGTCTACTGGTACAGAACTGGCTAACGGAGACTCGTGCCTAGAGGTTCATCTGTAGCTTCATTCTGACAGCAAACACTTAGGAACGCCGGCTCATTCATGTTTCTGAAAAGAGCGCTTCGCTCTTACCTACACGATAAATGTGCAGTAACTCTGAGGAGGAAACTGAGGCCTGAGGGCAGAGCCTCGGCAGACCATCATGGGACCCAGCTGGATCAGTATGGGCTATGGGCCATTTGAGGAGGCCCCTCTACTATCAAAGTGGTGGCAGATGTTCATCATCAGTGTCTTCTGTGAGTGACGAGCAATCTCGGTTCATGTGGACATGCCAGGTCCAAGCTTTCAAAGCTGTGTGATCCTAAAGAGACACTTCCTGGGCTTGCCTCCTCGCTTACAAACAAGAGAAGCAATGCTGTTCCTACCCGCTGCAGACCTCCATGAGGACAGACGGCAGGAGGAAGCATTCAGTCTACAGTTACAGGAATGAAAAGATCAGGTGGTGGGGCTAGAGCCCTGGCTCCATGGTTACAAGGACTGGTGGAGCTTCCAGAGGACCCAGCTTTGATTCCCAACAGGTATACGGAGTCTAACATCTCTAAGTCTATTTCCAGGGGAGTCTGACACCCACTTTCTGCTCTGCTGGCACCTAGTACGCATACATGCACAGATACACATGCAGGCAAAAATACCCATAACACAGAGATTTAAAAAAAAAAAAAAGTTAGCCGGGCGGTGGTGGCGCACGCCTTTAATCCCAGCACTCGGAGGCAGAGGCAGGTGGAACTCTGTGAGTTTGAGGCCAGCCTGGTCTACAAGAGCTAGTTCCAGGACAGAGAAACCTTGTCTCAAAAAACCAAATAAATAAATAAATTAAAATTTTAAAAATAGTTTAAAAAGTAAAGCAAAGCTAGTGCAATCCCAGCAGGGAAGGACTTTGGCCAGGGGCATGATGGGTCTGCGCACTTATAGACCAAGCCCTCACACTCGAAAGTCAGAGATGACTTTCTTTCTAGCGCTCATTCCTGACAGGGATGCAGAGCACTGAACCATCTGCCCATAGCAGCCAGGACTCCAGAGAATCCTCTAGATGGCTGCACAGACATGCAGGTGCCGCCTGCTGACTAGCCAGGGACAGCAAGGAGAGAGTTCTGGCTACAGTGCTTCTGCCACTCCATCCGATGGGGTGGAGGCCTTGAGACGGACTGGGATCACTGACTGCTCTGCAGTGAGATCTTGGGATAAAGAGTCATGTCTGTTTATCCACTTCAAAAACAGCCTCCTCTGCAGCCAGATTGTTCAGTGGATAAAGATTTTACATATCTACCCAATTATTTTTCCCTCGATGTGCTGGGATCATAGGTATGCACCTCTACACCCATCTCCAAAGCGCCTTTGGATTTTGTTTGTGTTTTGGAGTAGGGGAATCAAACCCAGGGCCTTCTACATCCTAAGCAAGTATTCTTCCACTCAGTTATGCCCCTGACTCCTGTGGCCTCGCCTACAATCAGCTGACTAATATCCCGAGAAGCCTTTAGGTTTAAGAGAAACAACAGACGGTGGAAGGAGAGAGCAGCAGACGGGGAGGAGCCCGTGTGTGGGTTTCCCCATTTCCAGAGTCACCGAATTAACTCCAGAGATTTCAGCTACACACGGAAGCATTGTAGGAGCACATTCTCTAGCAGATTTGTAAATGAGTGTTTTAGTTCAGCACATTTTATTCTATTTGGATGACTTTGGGCAGGTATAGTTTTGAGACTAAGGATGTGAATTATTACAAATCAGCAGATTACAAAGTCAAAACAAACCAACACAAAACAGAAACAATTTTTTTCTTCAAAATAATTTTAAAAATTTGCTAGACACGAAATTGAGATAAAAAATTTTTCACACTGAATTATACTTGTAAAACTAAGAAGTAGGCACATACCCTTGTGAAGCCAGCAGCAATGAAGGGCATTAGCGACATCTCCTCTCTGTCCCCCCTTCAAAGGAAGACGTTAAGAGTTAGGCAGTGTTCACTAATTTATATATCTTCAACGGTCACATAACAAGTACCTTCAATGAATTAGATGTGTGCATACGAACTTGAAAAGCCTTTCCAGTTTCAATTTCATCTTTTGTCTTCTAGAAGGATATTATAATTTGTTTGGGGGAATGGGGCTTGCTGTCTCACTCAGGCTGGCCTCAAACTCCTAGGCTCAACCATAAATCCTTTTCCCTGGACTACAGGTGCCTCTGGGTATCTAGTTACTGTATAAAAGTACACATATTAGAACTATTGAATTCTCCTGTCTCCCACTTGTGGAAGCACTTCTGTCTATACTGATATATGGATAGCACTGTGTATTTGCTACCCTCCTTGTTCCAACTTGAGAAGAAGATGTCCTACATTGATATGTCACCCAAATGCTTGCAGACACCTAAATTCAAGGCCCTAGAAAGACACATCTGGAAACCTTCACCCTTGGAGAATGGAATTCTCTTACAGTTTGCCTGTAAAGGGTTGTTCAAAATCAGAAAACTAACCCCGAGAGCAGAGCTCCCTCCCTGAAGTCAAGCAAAGGAGAGAAGGAAAATGCTAAAAGGAGTAAAGAAGGCCAGACTTCAAACAGGTTCTCCTGCCACCTCAGTCCTCGTTTACCAAAGTTAATAACATTACATTGACACCTGAATTTCAACATTTAAAAAAAAAATTTACCTGCGTACTACACCAACAATAACTGTATTTTCTGAGAGTTTCGATGATCTGATAGACCTTAAAAAAAAAACAAAAATGTAAATGGTAAGTATAAAATAATATTTAAATATAAAAATTCTTAAAATTAGATATACTTTCTTAGTTTTAGTTGTGTAGTTACAGTTGGGGAGGGAGACGGGAGGGACGAACTCCCTTGGCACTCCAGATTCACCTTCTTCATCTTCCCTCAGGTGATCAACTCCTTACTAGTGCCTGTGATAACCGTGACAATTATATGCTCAAATGAAATAGCTAAGGTGCCGCACTCTATGCATTTACCTGGGTTATGGGGTAGGGGGCAATCTCGCCTACACTGGGCTCATGTCTCTTTCTGTGCAGGAAATGCAGCTGTCCTTGCATCTCCCAAGGCTCCGCCCATGCAGACTGTGGGGATCAGGACATCACCCACCCAACCAGGAACACAACCCTCAGGGGAAGCAGCGATGGGGACCATGAGTGGTGACAACATAGCCAAGAGATCAGAGGGAAGACGTACACAAGATGCAGAGGAGTGGAGAAAGACAAGGATCGCTCTGTGGAGAAGCGACAGCTCTGAGCTTGGCTTCCATGAGGGGAAGGTAGAGCTAAGGAGAAAGCAGCCACAGCATCCAGGAAGGAGAGGGCTTTAGATGCAAGCCGTGGGCAGGGCCATACAGACTGTCCTAGTCAAAGGAGAACTATGCTGGTCTCTTGGAGGATGTGTTCAGGAAGGGACACAGACCAGCCAAAGATGACCACATGACTTCAGATATATTAGTTTAAAAAAGAGCCACTTCTGAATCACAGAACAAAAAAAATGATTTGAGTGGCTACTTCCGAATTCCCGCAGAGATGGTACATAACACAGCTACTCTAGCTGTCCACAAGAGAATTACCACATACAGGGAATGCCTTGGTCCTGGCACACTTTTCTATAAAGAGCCAGAGAGTAACTATTTTAAGATTTGCAGGCCTTAAGTATCCCTGTGGATTCTGTCCCAGTTACCTATTGGTGAGGATTCACTGTAATTGGCAGCATGACATAACCATAATGTCCTGGAAAGAGTATCAAGGAGGGACTGTCTGCACTGTGTTGGCCTCCAGACATGTCTGTAAGGGTTGTCCTAGTTAAGTTAGCTGGTGTGGAAGATCCAGTCCACTGTGAGTAGCACCATTCCCTAGGCAGGAGGTCCTGAACTGTGCTAAACGTGGAGAAACTGTGCTGAGCGCAATACACACAACTGAGCATGCATGTCTGCACACATTTCTCTCTGCTTCCCACTGCGGGTGTAGTCTGTCTCAAGTTCCTGTCACCTCGAGTTCCCCACAGCGATGGACCCTAACATGGAAGTGTGAAGCAAAATAAACCTTTCCCCTCTAAGCTACTTTATCACACCAACAGAAATGAACCTACAACACCATCACTACCCTCGGAGCGTGAGTGCGATCACAGAAAGCAAACCTTTACCCTTTGCTAACGCTTGCTTACCTTAGGGCATGCAGACAGCAGGCTCCTGTGGGTCTGATGCTGAGGAAGGTTTAGGGTCTAAGGAGTGGTCCTCAAGGAGAGCTGCTCAGGAATGAAACGCAGCTCCAGAGCCCAGCTAATCTCACTCATGGGCCACCGCTCATCTCCCCACTTTCTCCATATTCCTCTTTTCCCAGTGTCCACTGGACTCCCCTAGCTCTCACCTGCCCTTCTTCCCCATAGAAGCCGACCTAAAGGCACTGTGAAGCTCTACTGAAAAGGATTTCCCAAACAGGCCACCGTAGGGCTTGCGGGCTTGCCCAGAGAAGTCCAGACTCGGGCTGGAGACAAAGGCCAGGGAGGGTCAGTCAGGCCTAAAAGGGCCACTGGTACAGCACACCCTCATCTGCACAAAGCCAGCGTGCTCCTGGTAACTGATACTCATGCTGATTCTCATCTCCAGGGCTGAAGGAGAAGCATGGACTCGTGCATGCTGTTCCTGCGACTTTGGGGACACCGCATCTGTTCTTACATGTTTCCACCACACCTGTCATCCTCAAAGGGATGGAGAATGAAGAAAGGGGGGCTTAAGTTGCCAGCCAGCCACTTCAGATAAGTTCATAGTGCTTTAGTGGTAATCTGGTGGGAAGTGGGCAGCGTGCAAATGATTATCAGGAGGCGCTCTGACCAACCTGCCCATTGCTGGAGAAGAAGCAGAGGAGAGGACCATGTCCACCTAGTGACAAGCCCATCAAAGCAGTGCTAAACCCTACATAAAGACAGAAGTATACACTTGACTTTCTCAGGTGAAAAGAAAAACTGCCTAGAAACAAGAATGTCAGGGACAGACCTTACATGAGGAACAATCGCCTTAAAAACTAATACCCTTGCTTTAGAATTCATGGAACTAGGAAAGAGATGACTCGGCACGGTCAAAACACATAAGGGCATTAGAAAGGCCACAACGGCTCATGGACTCTGAAGCGGGCCTCTGGCTTACCTGCACAGTGCCTCTGCATCCAGCTGTCGGGGGTTTCGGTGGTCTATGATGATGATGTCATGGAGTTTGTCCAGGAAACAAGGAAGGACAGCCTGCACCTCCTTGGTGACCGTGCACTTAAACCCGGCCTTCTCACATGCCCTGTAGAATCCATTACACTGGTAATCTTCTCTGGTAAACACTAACAGTACCTGGACCAAAAGACGACAAATACATTTTTTAAAAAAAAAAAATATCTTGCTATAATTGTCATTTTAAAATAAGGCCCAGAAAGTTATCAAATGTCTAAATGAAGACACAGGGTGTGAGCGCAGCATCTGTAAACACGTATTCTTTTCTTACGGGCAGCTCAGGGGTACTAGCGTTCACTGTCCATAAGCCAACGTACTCTCTAATCCGGAAGTCCAAGTGCTTGGGACATATGCTTCCTTCTTTTGCTGGCAACCCACTGTAAGGACTCAATACAGACCTGACAGAACATTTTATTTTAAAATAGAATCAAAACAAACAGGAATTTAACTGAGTATGGCAATGTTGGTGTTTTAGGGAAATACCTCAGTTAGCAAATGCTCGCATTTAGTGAAACTCTTGAGACACATACTCCTTAAATCATATACTTGACATGCTTTGACTCAAAAAAATTTTTTTTTTTCAAGACAGAGTTTCTCTGTAGCTTTGGAGCCTTCCTGGAACTCACTCTGTAGACCAGGCTGGCCTCAAACTCAGAGATCCGCTTGTTTCTGCCTCCTGAGTGCTGGGATTAAAGGCGTACACCACCACAGCCTGACTTGACTCAAATTTTATGTAATGCCTCCAAGTTAAAAAGTCATTCATTCTGAGTATGAGGGATAAGATGTGAAGACTACACTTTGTATTTTAAAGCCTGCTCAGCAAGCAGCATGGGCGCAGAGCCTAGGCGATGTAGGCAGCATCTGTGTCAATGGTCAGCCAATAATTGTCGTCTTGGTGCCCGGCCCGTACCACATAATCCTGTATCTGCTGCCTCCTCCCAAATTCAACCAGGCCTCCCAGTCAAATCAAGTTCAAAACACCTCTGCTGCACCCATCAGAGTGAGACTCGAGCGACTACAGAGGCTGTACGGCAATGAGCAGCCTGGTAGACAGAGGTTGACTTCAAAACTGAAAGAAATCCTTTACCTCCTTAAACGTCTGCCCAATTGTTCAAATACCACAAATGCAAAAACATCAAGAATACACACCTGTGTCTGCCTCGTTCACAAGACTAAAATACAATATCAAACACTGTTCGTGTGCAGGAAGCTTCGAATAGCTTGGCTACATTTTATCACTTTTCAAAGACCCGTTCATTTTTATTGTGTGGGGACAGGTGTTTCAGCTGCATGTATGCATGCATGCATGTATGTATGTATGTATGTATGTATGTATGTATGTATGTATGTGCACCACATGTGTAAAGCACCCACGGAGTTCCAGAAGAGAGTGTCAGACCCTGCGGCACTGGCGTTACAGACAGTTGTCATGTGAGCACTTGGAACTGAACCTAAGTCCTCTGCAAGAGCAACAGGGGCTCTTAACCACTAAGCCATTTCTCTAGCCCCCTGATGCCAGCATGGGCTACATGAGACCTTGTCCCCAAAATAAAAACAAACCAGATGCGATGTAAAAGGCTATGTTTCTAACTTTTCATTTTGGAAAAATTCAAACTTACAGAGACGTTGTAAATGATAATGCCTTAAAAATTCTTTCTCTAGATTAATTCGCCTTTTTGCCACTTTTGGTCTTGCTTCCTCTCAATGTATATACACATGTGAGTGGATGCACAATTATACACCCCCTTTCCTTTACCGCAACCCTAAATTTTAACCTCAGCACATATTTCTAAAAAAAAAAGAGTTATAACATTGTTACCAAGTCCAAGAAACTTGACTATGACCAAGAGCTAGTAGCTAAACAGAAGAACACACATCTTAAATGTATAGTTTTAACCCCTCCTCACTAAAGAAAATTGAAATATGATCATCACAGCCAAGTACCTGAAGTTGGTCTTGATGAAATCTCATCGGGCCAAATTGCACGTCAGTTACTGATACCTGTAAGAAAGAGATTTGCTTATATTTTTCTCTCTCTATGCAGAGTCACAGACAACAATAAAATATCCACAGTAAAAATTACATAAATATTAGACAAGCAAGAGGAATTGCAACCACCTACTTTAAATCCCAGGAGAAATGAGACTAGGAAAGAAGAATGAAAACGTGTTGATCACAGGGTGGCTCTCTGTTGCTGCTTCTCTATAACTTTAAGAGAATTACTCATCCTTCCTCAGCCGCAGTTTCTCATTCATTACACAGATCAATTAAGATTATAATACAAAGATCCTCTAAAGAGTAGACACTAAATATTGGCGGTCCCTATAGACTGTTCCCACCTTTTCCTGATGGGTAACAAAATCTTACATCCAAAATGACACATGAATAATGCAATCTAGCACTCAGAACAATGGATGTCAGTCAGAGAGACCTTGCCTTTTACCAAGGAACATAACAGCCTTGGTTAATACATGCTTAGCCATAAGAGAAGCTGGCATTAAACACTTGACACTAATAGCATAGGATCAGGGCTGGGAAGAGAGTTCAGTTAGCAAAGTGCTTGCTGCAAAAAAAAAAAAAAAAAAAAATAGCCGGGCGATGGTGGCGCACGCCTATAATCCCAGCACTCAGGAGGCAGAGGCAGGCGGATCTCTGTGAGTTTGAGACCAGCCTGGTCTACAGAGCTAGTGCCAGGACAGGCTCCAAAGCTACAGAGAAACCCTGTCTCGAAAAACAAAAACAAAACAAAACAAAAAAAAGTGAACCTGAGATCTTCAGAACCTACATAAAAGCTGGACGTGCTGCGTGCATCTACAGCGCCAGCACTGGGAGATGGAGACAGGCAAAGGCTGGTGCTCACTGGCCAGCCAGTTTAGCTGAATCATGTGCTCTAGATACAGTGAGAACTATTGCTCACAAAAATCAGGTGGAGGACTGGTGAGACAGGTCGGTGGGTGACGGCACTTGCCACTTAAGTCTAACAATGTAAATTCGATCCCTGGACCCACATAAAGGTAGAAGAAAAGAACTAACTTTGCAAGGTACTCATCTCACTTCTACATGTGACAGCACTTTCCCTCCCCCCTTACATACAGTCACACAGAGGAGCTATATATGCGTATATACATACATATGTGCGCGCGCGCGTGCGTGCGTGCGTGTGTGTGTGTGTGTGTGTGTGTGTGTGTGTGTGTGTGTGTGTATTCCCGCCCCCAGAGACAGGGTTTCTCTGTGTAGCCTGACTGTCCTGGAACTCGCTCTATAGACCAAGCTGGCCTCAAATTCACAGAGCTGCTGGTCTCTGCCTCCCGAGTGCTAGGATTAAAGGTGTGTGCGCCACCACCACCCAGCTGAGGATACTTTTTAAGCTGTAGATTCTGAAAAAAATAGGAAAGAAAGAAAAAGTATCTGATCTCTGGTCCTCTGTTTCGCTAGACTGTTATAACGCTAAAGAAAAGACTCAGTATGCATACACTAACCAAAAACTGGTAAGACTGGTTAAGAAAATTCTAAGAGAAAAACCAAAGTTAATAAATAACAAAATGTTTAAGTGCTAATGACTAGAGAAAATGCATCAATAAAACACACAGCTGGGTCTGATGACGTATCTATAACCCTAGTACCTAGGAAGCTGAGGTAGGGTTCTGAGTTTAAGTCAGCCTAGCCTACATAGGTGGATCCTATCTCAGAAATACACAGAATAAGATAAAATAAAATTTACAGTGTTCACTCAAACTGTGGGTAAGATTACAGCCTATGGAGGTTGTACCTCCATAGGTACAAATGTACCGAGTACATGGTCCACCTCAAATGTTAGTGACTAGCACTCAGGAGGCAGAGGCAGCAGGTATCTGAGTTCAAAGCTAACCTGGTCTATAGAGCAAGTTCCAGGACAAAACAAAAACCAAGTAGGAAAACAAACAAAAAGTTGGTGAGATAGGGAGCTGGAGAGAAGATGGCTCAGTGGCTAACAGTGCTTACTGTTCTTGCTGAGGACCTAGATTTGGTTCCTAGCACATAGCAGCTCACAACTGCCTCTAATTACAATTGCAGAGGATCTGAAACTGTCTTCCAGCCTCCGTGGGCTCCTGCATAAAAGTGGTACGCATAAACTCACATAGACACAGACAGACAGACACACACACACACACACACACACAATGTTTTTTAATATTTGAAAAAGTTGGTGAGATAACTTTTAAGAAAGACAGCTTAACTTTAAAAATCTCAATTTATAAAAATGACCCAACTACTAGATTAATTTTGAAAAATAAAAGAAAATGTATGTTCTTCCTAAAAAAAGATTTAACACCAAATTTCAGACACTCTGTAAAGTTTCAGCAATATCATTTTAAAAGGTTCATGCTTCAGCAAGTGATGTAATAGACCACTGGACACTCTGTTTACTTAGCTAGACAGCATTTAGCCGAACATCCTGTCACAGGGAATATCCGGACCTTGGGGCCTCTGTGATCAGAGTATTAGTCCAGTTGGACGTCAACCACCTAGCACTATGCCCACCCCACCCCTACCATCCCCGCAAAAAATAGCCACCGCCAGGAAATCTGATGACATCACTCAGTGAACGGGTGTGAGCAACAGGTCCGTCTGCTCTGGGAATGGGCAGGGGACCACTGGGGTTTCTGCATCCACCCCCTTTGCTCATGCTTCACCATCAAAATCAAACTTCAGCTCATAGCCCCTTTAGTTTTTACATTATTATTTATATTAAAATATTCATTTTCAAATCAATTTTATAGCTTTCAGCTTCAAATGTAGCCAACATTTTCAGATCGTTTTTTAGATAATATAGAAACAATAGTATGCTCAAGAATTGTATCCAGCAGGGTGGTGGTGGCACATGCCTTTAATCCCAGCATTTGCGAGACAGGCAGGCGGATTATCTGTGAGTTTGAGGCCAGCCTGGTCTACAGAGCAAGCTCCAGGACAGCCAGGACTACACAAAGAAACCTGGTTTCAAAACAAAAATCAACTAACCAAACTAATCAAAAAACAACAGAAAAAAAAAAAGAGTTGTGACCTAATTTGTTTGTTTGTTTGGTTGTGCGAGACAGGGTTTCTCTGTAGCTTTGGGGCCCATCCTGAAACTAGCTCTTGTAGACCAGGCTGGCCTCGAACTCACAGTGATCCTCCTGCCTCTACCTCCAGAGTGCTGGGATTAAAGGCGTGTGCCGCCACCACCCAGCCTAATTTGTGTTTTAATCCTCAGACAAAAACTATGACCAAAACACTTTGTGTGGAAAGAGTTCAGTTCACCTTACAATTTCAGTTTATCATGAAGGAAAGTCAGGACAGGACTCAAGCAGAGTGAGAGGCTGTAGGAGGGGATGCTGTTTACAGACTTGCCTCCATGGCTAGCTAGTTTCTTCCACCACCCAGGACCAGGGCCTCAGGGGTAGAAGCACCCAAGAGATTGAAAGAGAACACCGAATCTACTAATTTGTCCTTTGACCTCCACATGGATGGCATGCCATATAAATACACATAATTAAATTTTATGACTATGTAGTGGGCACATGCCTTTAACCCCAGATACAAACACACATAGTTAAATTTTAAGACTATGTGGTAGGTAGCACATGCCTTTAACCCCGGCACTTAGGAAGCAGCAGGCAGCTCTCTGCGTGTTCCAGGACAGACAAGGCTACATAATAACAGACCGTTTCCAAATGAATGAATGGATGAAGATTGTAACATTAGAATATCAGAAAATAAAGTTGTATATTTGTATCATAGCAGCTTAAAATATTTTGACAAATATGATTAGAAATGACAAAAATTATTAGTTCTGAAGAACCGTATCAGATGTTTTTTTGATTATCTGACTGAACACTGGTTACACGTGATACTAGAAGGAAAAATCAGCTGTTAACGAGTTGAAGGCCTGGGGTAGGAAAGGAGGTTATTAGCTAGGGATGGGGGCAAACGTCTGTAATCCCAACACTTGGGAGGCTTCGGGAGGATTGCCCAAAGTCTGCAGCCAGGCTGGGCTACATAGCCAGATCCTGAAGACGGAAGGGAGAGGGAGGAGAGAGGACATAAACAATCAACCTATTTGAAGTCATACTCCTCCAGCTTTCCCTCCTCTCCCTTTCCTACTATTATTTTCCTTTTTAGCTCCCAATCACCATTGGGAAATGTGTATTTACTATGTTTGGAACATAGTGTGTAGCCAAAGATAACCCTGGGCTTCTGATTCTCCTGCTTCAACACCTCAAAAGTGCTTGGGTTATCAATGTTGAAGACAGAACTGGTAGGCAAGTACAGCACATCTCCCCCAGATTCTTACTCTGTAAGTTAAGTCCATTAACTTATTAACTTAAATTAGCAATGAGGAAACTGAAGCTCAGAACAGAATAATCAAGTAACTGAGAAGCAGCAATGGCAGGAACAAAACTCAGTCCTGTCTGTATTTAATTTCTGTAGCTCTTTTATGGTTCTAGTGGGCAAGATCTAAATCACCTGCTCTAATCTCTATTCAGATGAAATAAGGTCAAAAAACTGGCAAACAGTCCTTACCCATTTGACCAATCTTAACTGAGCATCCTTGTTGTGCTAAGTGGTTTTCCTAGACTTGGAGGTCAACAAAGAACATGGCGGATGATGCGTCTACAACAACAGGGAGAACTGGGTTGGGAGGAACCTGGCTGCACGGATGAATGAGAGGTTGAGGAAGGCCTCTCTTAGGAGAACAAATACAGGAGTGAGACCTGAAGGGCAAAGAGCCAGCCAACAAGGAGCACCAAGAAAGGACTCATAGGAACCAGGTGGGGCGCTGGAGGAAAAAAAGGGAAGAGGTCATGTGATGAGGTCAGATCATAAAGAGCTTTGTAAGCCAAGAAATTTCATGAAAAGCAACAGGGTGTTATATAAAGTAGTGATATAGTCAGCTCTGTTTATATTAAAAAATATTTTTCTTACAGTATATTTTAATCATAATCTTTGCCCTTCCCTGGTATAGTCTGAATAAAATAAAACCC